GTGTGTGCACTGTGAGTGGGAAGGACACCGTTGTGTTGCTGGACCACTCCACTGCGGCCTCTGTGGGGTTTGTGTGGAAGCGGCATGCTTCGCTTCGGCGGGGCTCGGGGAGGGGCACTTTACGTCCCGAGGCGCTGAACCTTGAGGCCTGAAATATCATGCTCAGGGACTTTGAAATTGAGAGAAAAAGAAGAGTGAGGATGAGGAAAAAAAAAAGGATGAAACCCGGCAACCAGTCTACGCGCGCAATGCTCGAGGCTCGTTGTCGGGTTTTGCCCTTTTCTTTCTTTTTATCCCTCACCCCAAGAAGGGAGAGGAGGAGAACACACCACCCCCACAACCCAAGGCGGGCGGCCAACTTGTCACAGCGTCTTGTGCGCAACAAGAAGAAGGGGGGTGGGGGGTGGCTCCCGGGGGTGTTTCACTTATAAAATGAGGGGGGTTGGGCATTGCGGAATACCTTTCAAACCCATCTTACTCCGCGCTGAAGTAGGGAAAGAAAGAGTTTTCCACTAAGATGACCCTTCCCCGTTCCCCTCATGACATGGTGCCGCGTGCCACCGAGTAAAAGATGCTGTTGGATGGCCCACGCCATGAACAAAAAAAACAAAGAGAAGGGGGATTCACCACACCCTCATGATATAAAGGCAAATTCCGCTATGGTGATGTGTTAAGGCGTTCCCCTGCTGCCTTGTGTGGTGTGAAAAGGAAATTCATGGGAAATGCAGAAAAGGGGTGAAATCCAAACAGAACATTTCGTCCCACAGGTATTTGGTTTATTAGGAGATTCCCAACAATGTATGGAGTACGTTTACTTTCCCTTAATATATTCAAGTGCTTAACCATGACGCCAAGATAAGTTGGCACCCGATCACCAAAGTTTTTTTTTCTTTAAATGGCGATCTGTTGAAATATTGTAATCTGTAAAGAAAAAAGAAAAAGATTGCCACACTGACGTCGGCTTCTGCCGTAAGCAACGCTGTTGCAAACAAAAGCGTTTCTGTGTCATTTTTTTGTAATGGGAAGATTGAGTAATAAACGATCATGCCCATATTCACCAACAGAATCCTCCATGGCGTTCTTCGGGGCAGTGTTTGTGGATGCGTGCGGGGTTCGCCATTTTCTGGGTTGTTGTTGTTGTTATCATTGCTTCCCCCGGACCAAAAACTTCGAATTGAAGAAATAGTGACGATAGAAAACGCCATGTTATCTTATTGCGAAGCAAGAAACGTGAGGACATAAAAGAAAAACCTTCTGCCAGCAAAGAACCTCTAAAGTATATAAAGTGTCATTGGTGCTGGTGATAGTGTTCTTCCACTGTGGTTCACGCGTCTTCTGCACAAAAGAGAGATATTACCAGAGAACAGCGGAATCATTGAGTTCGATATTTATATAAACACAGGAATCAAAACCATAAAGCAAGAATTTTGAATGATTGTGTAACCAATAAGGGTGACATTATGAATTTTTTTTCATTTAATTTATAAACTTCCATGAGGTTTGCGAGGTGTAGGAATTGTACAGAAACAGATCCTTTGCAATGAGGGTTGCCTTCATATGGTGCCAAGGTTGAGTATATGAATTTATTCAAAGAAACCAAATGCACTCACTAAATCTTTGAAGAAGGTGGTCTCCTAAAGAAAAAAAATCTTTTTATTTTTCTTTTCAATACACGTGTTCTTCGGAATGCTATCCCTTTGGTGGCGTTTGGCCATCGAAAGTTGGAGCCATGGCCCGTTACCTCTTGTTCTTGCGGGGGAAGCCATGTCCAGTAAATTCTCTTCTTGAGAGTTTACTGGTTTCATAAGCTACAAACGTCA